AATGCCACATAGAATTAAGGCAGTTCTGAAGGCGAAAGGGGGTCAAACACCGTATTAGTATGGTGTTCCTAATAATCCTTTAGGTGAGTGTATATTGGGGTATTTATAAAACAAAAAAAGGAGTTTATAAATTTCTCACAAGCCTGTCTTTGAGTGATTTACGATTGTCTTGGAGAATGCATGCAGCACTCATGCAAAAGCGGCGGAGGTAACAGAATAACAGAGTAAAAATAATTTACCCAAACTTTAACCCCCTGTGCTATAATGTCCGTATACATAATTGAAAGTAAAAAAAAAAAAAAAAATCTTAATCTAGCTTACTAGCAGTGTAAGAACTGCATCTGTATAATATGCAATGCTGGTATTAATATCAGACATCGTCCAGCCATATAACATGCTACAGCCATTTTTCTTATTCATTATAAAATGTTCCACCTCACCTTTGTGATGTAATTCGGTGCCAGTACCAGTTTTCATGCCATTGGAAAACCAACACCTCAAAGTACCAAAAGTAGGGTACCCGGTGCAGTGGAAAAACGCCCTTTTTTGTTTTTCCACCGCACCAGGTACCGTACTTTCGGTACTTCCATAAAGTGCCGAAAGTTTGAGACTTCTTTTATGTTGGTTTTCCACTAGCGTAAAAAATGGTACCGGCGCCAAATGACATCATCAGTGACCGCCCCTGACTGACAGCCCAAAATTAAAACTAACAGTTGAGGCTGGAAAATGCGGTTTATTGTTATGTCAGCTTCTTTCACAGTATAAGATTCAGTAAAATGTTTCTCCTGTCTATCAGGAAATAATGTTTCCCCTAATATTAAAGCAAAGAGGTATGTGAAATGTCTGAAAATCACTCAGGTACATTATAACATGTGAATATAGTAGATCGTCACGCATAATATAGGCAATACTATACCGTTTTCATCAAGAAATATCTCTATCCAGCGAATTAAGTAATTTCATTTATTATCTGTAAAAACAAAAAACATAGAAAAGGCTTGTGATGTTTTAAAATTAATATATGGCTTGTTTACCTCAAGAGCTTTGTGAAAAGACATGAAAACAACAGCGAAACCGTGTACAAATCAGCGTGCGACGGGAAACATAGGGAAACTGAATTGCCCGGAACGGCAAAAACTTTTTTATTTCGAGTCGTGCCATCCAAATCCCACTGGATCTGTTCATCCGACCATATGACAATTAAAGCCTGTGTTTCCTCGTTTGTCCATCCTTCCATTTTACTTTTTTATATTTTTGTTTCTACTGCTTTTTATTTTGTTTCTCGCTGTGATCGCTCTGTTCGCTGTGTGTTTCAAAAGATGGCGGTTGTATTTTGTGTTTTAGCGGCAGGCTATTTGCATAACCAATCGACAGCAAATACGTTTGCAAGTCCCACCCCGAAGTACCAAAGAAGTACCCCAACTGGTTTGGCACTTTCGGTACTCGAGATTTCGGTACTGGTACTCGACCGAAAGTCAATGGAAAAGCGAAAGTACCGCACTTTGTGCGGTGGAAAAGCGCCCTTAGTAACTCTGCTTGTATTTCTGTTCCATGTCGCCCTCTAGCTGGCAGACATCGCCATAGACAGTCTGTGTCGGGGGGTATTTGCTGGTGACTGTCGCCAGCTGAGCATGAGGTCTTGCTTCCCCCCACTTTTCAATGCAGAGAGGACCATGGGCTCCATCTTCATAGGCATGGTGCTGGGGGCAGGTCAGGCACAAATGCCTTTAATTATAAAAATGCTTCTCAGCTTGTACTGATGCAGTGCTCTTCTCACACTCAGACCAGTTTGATGAATGATCTTTCCGCATTGGGTACTTTTATCAGCTGACCACTCTCCAAACATTGTCTGCTGGCAGGCGGTGGCCCTGATGTTCCCATATCACAGCTGGCCCAGAGGTCATCTAAGGAATCTTGGACAATGTGGTCTCTAAGGAGGGGCATGCAGACCCTACCTGAGGCCCTGGTAGAGGCGTTAAAGCAAGCAGAGCATGTTGACATTCACAGAAATGCTTCAGTGAAGAGCTTGACTAGAGATGACCGTGGCTGGGAGGTATGTGAAACCCCTTAACATTTTCTAAATTTCTACCTAGATTTCACCTAGAATGTGATTACATCTTCTAAGTCATACAGAAACCATTATTAACTATTGTTAATGACCCAGCTTTAGATGTCAGAAAAATTACGAGAGCAGCAGTGACTTCAAATAAACATTTACGGTAACTGTCCCACACACCAGGTTTGGAGGAATTTTGATGTGTTCCTCCTTACAGAACTACTTTGAGAATTTCCCTCCAGGGATCAGTAAAGTGTTTATCTATCACTCTGTCTAGCTGTATGCCTCAATCAATTAGTGGATTAGGGCTGACACGATCACATCGTAATGTAATAGCGATTATATGGTTCACATGTGCAGTAGCCACCAGGCCTGTAGATGACGAGTGAAACATTTGTCTGGATGCCGGCTTTTCAGTACTTTACAGACTAGGGCTGGGCGATGATATATCGATATTATATCGCGCATGTGCAATAATCACCAGGACTTCATATGACAGACGAAGCATTTGGCCAGACGCCAGGTTTTCGGTGAAATACGGACATTAATTTACAGCCATAATTTGGTAAGAGGATTAGTAGTATGGCTAAAATATTAATAAGATGGGTTTTGTGATACCCAAAAGTTAGTAATCTGTATAAAGTTTATGTTTCTTAAATTCGATTAGCGGAGCACCCTACATAATACTGTTTTGGTATACTACGGTTTGGTATCCCTCAGTGCAATATGCACTGAAGTCGCGGTGAAGAAGAGCAGCCACGATATCTTTTAAAAGAGGAGATCTTGTGGATAAACAACGTAAAAAGACGCCGGTGGTGTGGTGGTACTTTTTGCAGTTCAAAGTCTGATACATTTATGAAACATAAGGATATGCCGTATTTATACTAATAATGTTTTTTGGACGTCATACAAAGCCTCATTTATATTTTAGCCATACTACTAAACTGCTTAAATTGTGGGCGTAAATAAATGTACGTATTTCACTGAAAAGCTGGCGCATGACCAAATGCTTTGTCTGTCATCTGAAGCCCTGGTGATTATTGCGCATGCGCAATATAATATCGATATGCAGACATTTACTTATGCCCACAATTTGGTAAGTAGATTAATAATGTGGGCGGCATGGTGGTGCAGTGGTTAGCGCTGTTGCCTCACACTTCTGGGACCTGGGTTCGAGTCACATGTGTGTGGAGTTTGCATGTTCTCCCTGTGTCGTCGTGGGGTTTCCTCCGGGTACTCCGGTTTCCCCCCACAGTCCAAAGACATGCTGAGGCTAATTGGCATTGCTAAATTGCCCTTAGGTGTGCATGTGTGAGTGAATGGTGTGCGAGTGTGCCCTGCGATGGGCTGGCCCCCCCGTCCAGGGTTGTTCCCTGCCTCTTGCCCGTTGCTTCTGGGATAGGCTCCGGACCCCCGCGACCCAGTAGGATAAGCGGGTTGGACAATGGATGGATGGATGGATGGATGGATGTGTAACTGCGTTGTGTTTGTACTGTATGAAGAAGTCAGAACCAAGGGTCAGAAAGATTTCTCCAGCAGATTTATTTGCCTGCATAAAGGGTCAGAAAAGGCAGAAATAAAAGATGAGCATCACATGAAGTCCGCCCGTAGCAGTGGCATTTCCTTCTGCTCGTTACGAACATTACTAATTAAAGGTTTCATTAATAATAATAATGATAATAATAATGAACACTTTATTAATCCCCGTGGGGAAATTCTTTTTACGCCTCTCTCAACTTGTTCTTTGTAGAGCAAGTTGTCCGCGAAGGGCAGCCACCCGTAGCGGCGCCCAGGGAGCTGGGGGTTGAGGGTCTTGCTCAAGGACCCGCAGACGTGCTGAGGCTGGGCTTGAACCGGCGACCTTGTGATTACAGGCACATGGCTTAGCCCACTGAGCCACATGCTGCCACTGAGCCCACGCTGCACCAGCATTACATTTCCTTTAAATGAGTTCTACAGATATTCAAAAGAAATTCCAAAGAGGAACTCACAGTAACCTCATTTATAGAAACATGTAAATATTAACATGTGATAAAGACTACACTCCATTGCATTAAACTTAAAAGATAATTACTACACCCGTGTGGTCAAAATTTGTATTGCCCGTAAATATTTTAATGGCGGATCCCCCGCTCACCACGAGGAGCACACGAGGGAATTTAAAACAAGCAAACACACAAACTTTGAACATAACATAACTGATTACCTGCATAAAGGGTCAGAAAAGGCAGAAATAAAAGATGAGCATCACATGAAGTCCGCCTGCACAAAATAAATGTTATGTTACCAAAAAAATATTAAACTGCATAAGAATTACAATGAGTCGTGAAACGTCGGACCAACGCAATTGTACGTGTCTTTTACACGTAATAGTTAACTGGAGAGACCAACAACTCCTACAATACAGTGCAACTATGACATTTGATAACTTTTAGTACGGACTCATGACCGCCCAACCTACCCGTAGCAGTGGCATTTCCTTCTGCTACGGAGAATCGGAAATGCAGAAGCTCTACAGCTCTATTTTCAAAATAAAAGTCTGAACCCATTTATGCAGGATTTAACTCTATCAAATACAACAATTATCCTCCGTTACAGATGGATGGATAGATTAATAATGTGCCTAAAATATTAATGAGATGCATATTGTGACACCCAAAAGTCAGAAGTCTGTATAAAATTAGTGTATCCTTTTGAGTCTAACAATACATATTTCATGAACATCTCAAGCACAATACTAAACTGCTTACCAATCTCTGGGTGTAAGTAATCATTTGTATAGTAGCAAAAAGCTGGCATCAGGATAAATGTTTTACCCGTCATTTAAAGCCCTGGTGATGATTGCACATGCGCCATATAATAACAGTTGCATCCTGACGTGATCACGAAAGCCCCATTGGGTTTCTTGCATTCCAGACTTAAGGTCCTCATAACATTACTGTTGGAACCATCTTATGTCGAACTTAAGCTTACAGATGAATAACCTGGCATTCTTCTCTAGAATTTTCTGATGCAATCCAGAATTCAAAGTACCATCAAGACAGCAAAACACCTTTAAACCATCAAGCTGCCATCACTATGTTTCACAGTCAGGATGAGGAAATCAGTGCTTGCTTTCTCCTAATCAATTGTTTAATTCAAGCAAGAAAGTTCTACTTTAAACTCATCTGTCCACTGACCATTCTTCCATTAGTCTTGTGGTTGTTCCACATGGTTATTAGCAAACTTTAAACCAAGCAGCAGTATTCTTGGAGAATAGCTTACTCCTTGCTGTCCTGCCATACACATTTACTGTTAAGTGTTTGCCTCATGCTATGGGTGGGGGGGTGCAGTGCCTGAACACCTGACACTTTTACCTGAACAAATCAAAGTGCCACCTCCCGCAGGTGATCTTCCAGGGGCCTGTTTTTTCCCATCAGATAATTGGCTTTCATGAACATGCTAACTTACTGAAGGGACCATGATTATGGTAACTTACTGAGGGACCCTCTATCCTCGCCACAGCTGGCAAAAAGTGTTGGTACCTGGGAACGTCCTGGAATAACAATTGTGGTGAATTTTCTGCATTTTCACAATGTCCGTGTGATAGTGGATTGGTGAAACTCAGTCTTATTCTGTAACCTTTTCCAGTCTGATGGAAATCAACTTTTCCAAGGTCCTCTGATTGAGACATGGCATGTTTTCCCGACTGGCGTTTTAATGTTGGTATAATAATTTGTGTGTGTTTTTTATTGTGTTCTCTCTTTTTATGACTTGAATTGAGATCTGATTACATTGTAGGTTATTTATGCAGAAATTCAGGAAATTCTGAAGGGTTCACTTACCAGCATCAGGTGCCCACAGTGATCAGTGTTAAATGCATTGTAAACTATGAAAAAAGGATTCTCCTGTCGAGGCTTTGGAGAGCCATAGGACAGCACCAACCAAATTCATAACCTTTAATATTCTACCTCTATTGGACATTTGTACTAGGATCAGGGGAACTTTCAAATGAAGCTTATTGTCATCCCAAATAGCAATGTTGCCTCACACCACCTGTTCTTTGTAGAATTTGTAGTAAAAATAAAGACACTTGCAATTGACTTCTGTTCACAATATTTGCTTTTTAATAAACATGCTTAAAATGTCATTTGTTTTGGTTCTTAATCATTATTATTAATGTATGACTGCACAGCTGTGGTGACTGATGTAAATGGGTAAATGCACTCCAAGAAGTGCATGATATAGGCTGCTGAGGCAAAGATATAAAAATACAGTGGTACCTCAGAACTCGAATTTAATCCGTTCAGAATTATGGATCGAATCCTAAAATTTCGAGTTGTGATCGAATTTTCCATCCAGCCATCCATTATCTCCCGCTTATCCGAGGTCGGGTCGCGGGGGCAGCAGTCTCAGCAGGGAAACCCAGACTTCCCTCTCCCTGGCCACTTCATCCAGCTCCTCTGGGGGAATCCTGAGACGTTCCCAGGCCAGCCGAGAGACATAGTCCCTCCAGCGTGTCCTGGGTCTTCCCCGGGGCCTCCTCCCAGTGGGACATGCCCGGAACACCTCACCAGGGAGGCGTCCAGGAGGCATCTTAATCAGATGCCCAAGCCACCTCATCTGACTCCTCTCAATGCGGAGGAGCAGTGGCTCTACTCTGAGTCCCTCCCGGATGACCGAGCTCCTTACCCTATCTCTAAGGGAGAGCCCAGCCACCCTGCGGAGGAAACTCATTTCAGCCGCTTGCACTCGGGATCTCGTTCTTTCGGTCACTACCCATAGCTTGTGACCATAGGTGAGGGTAGGAACGTAGATCGACTGGTAAATCGAGAGCTTCGCCTTTTGGCTCAGCTCCTTCTTTACCATGACAGACCGATAAGAATTTTCCCCATGAGAAATAATGGAAAACCAATTAATTGTTCCCGGCCCCAAAAAATTACACCTAAATGTTTTTTTTTTTTTTTAGCATTTAAACACAAAATGAACTGGATAAAACAAGAAGAGCATATACTGTACTAAACACATCTAAGCACATTTATCAAAACAGTAATTTGTAAAGTAAGAAAATAAATGTATCCAAACAATGTGTCCTGCCCCGATCGTCCACTCCTTCCGTGTGCCACGCCTCCTCGTTAACCCCGTGTGGAATCCCTGTGTGATCAGCTGTTTCTGGTTGTTTTCATTAGCCCTCTGTATTTCGTAGTGTTGTAGTCAAGACCGCCTAAACCGAGACCAAGACATTGCCGAAACCGGAGGGTATCAAGACCAAGACACTGCCGAGACTTGAGGGTACCGAGACCAAGACACACTAAGGCGGGACCAAGACCAAGACCGAAAACAGCCTAGGGCTAGAATCGACATCACATTACTCAGATCAACTGTAGAGAAAAAAGGCATTTCTGTAAAGTGTCATTACTCGTTAAATCAAATTCATGTTATGTTTTCAATTATATTTCCCATATGTCTCTCATTTTTAAGTCTCCCAGATTTGTCATAGTTACGAAGCCTGATGGAAAATAATATTCTCAGCAATCCTCTCCTATAACCATTTTATCAGACCTCGTCAAGGGAAAGAGATGGGATCTACCAGAAAGATGTTCATATTAAGTCTTATACCAGGGACAGAGGCCTTGGGTAAGCTATGAATACATCTATGTAATGATCCTTTGCTTTGAATTGAAGAGAATGAGCCTCCAGATTGACTTGCACCTCCAAGACCGTGCTGTCTAATGAATGTAAAATACCAAATTTATTTGAATTATAACTATGCTATAGACTTCGCTGACATTTTCGGACATTTCTTTGCCGACTTCGCTATGATGCGATGTGTATGATGTGTGTGGACTGTGAAGCACTGGCAGTGTCTGTTGCGAAAATGTATACAATGTAACGTTTTTAAAATAGATGCATCTGGTTGCATTTGAACTGAGGCGCGTAATAAATAATTATTTATTATTTAGTTGAAAAAAGTTTTCTCTTTTTTTCCTCATCCCATCGAGACTGCTATGTCCAAGACCAAGACAAGACCTAGACCACAAAAAAAATTGGTCTCGAGACCAAGACCGGTCTCAAGAACTACAGCACTAGTATTTCGTCCGCATTTCAGTTTGTTTCCCCAGTCCGGTCATTGTATTGTCCATCTGCGTTTTGCCTGCCTTACCTGTAAATTAAACCCCGTATTCCCCGATACCCTGACGTCTGCGCCTTTGTCTCCGTTCGGTCCCCACTCGGCACAACAGTATTATTATAATTAAACATATTAATGGTTTATTATTAATATTAAAATAATGAATAAGAAGTCTTTTTTTAAATGTATTTTATTATATAATAATAATTACTGTTAGTCTATCATTGTCTAAATGTATTTTTACTGTCTAAATATATGTATTCAGTTAGTGTAAACATGCACAGTGCTATCACAGCTAATGCAAGGCTGAGACTGAAGCTTTACCCTTTGTTTCCGCTGAGAGACGCGCCGCGTGACTCATTTCCCCCGCGCTTACAAGTTATCTTAGGTTGGCGTTCACGATTTGACTTCTGAGATTCAGATCGAGCTCTAGGTAATTTTTTTTCGAACTGGTTGGTTCAACTTTTAAGAAATTTTACTTCTAATGAGTTCGAGAACTGAGGTACCACTGTAATTATATACAGATGAGGGCAGAATTATTAACCCCCCCATGAAAATTTAATTTTTGTTAAAGTATTTCCCAAGTGCTGTTAAACTGAGCAAGGGATTTTAAACACAGCTTTTCCAAACATCCTAGTTTTATTTCAGATGCTTGCATCATTTTACTTTGCATACAGAAACAATTATTTCACAAAAACCAAATACTACCAGCATCAGAATTATTAGCCCTCCTGATGCTAATAGTCAATTGTGTATCCTTTTTTCTGGATAACAGCCTGCAGTCATTCATTATAGTTTTTAACAAATCACACACATCTCCTGAGCCATCCCAGCCCATTCTTCTTTGGCGAATCTCCTCCACATTTGATAGTCTTCTGGCATTGACCTTGGTCTTCAGTTTACCTCATAGATTTTCAATGGGATTCAAGTCAGGGCTTTGGTGGGCCAATCAGTCAGGTTCACGTTGGTCTTCTATGTTTTTGGTCGTCGTATTGGAAGACAAAGCAACGACTCAGACCCAGTCTTCCTGCGGAATACTAAATGTTTTCATTCAAAATCTTCACATATCCTTCTTTCTTCATGGTTCCTTTCACCTTGACAGTATTCCCAGTTTCAGACACGTTGAAGCATCCCCATAGCATAACATTTCCACCACCATGTTTAACTGTGGGAACGGTGTTCTTTGATTTGTACACCTCTTCCTTCTTTCTCCAAACATAAGCAGCATGTTTATGGCCAAAAAGCTCTAGTTTCGTCTCACCTGACCAAAGGACACGCTTCCGGTATGCATAATCTACCTAAAAGACCTCATCACACCCCGCACTGCACCACGATCTCTCCGATCTTCCAGCACTGCTCGACTTGTCCCACCACCCCTCAAGGCACAAGGAAGACACACCTCCCGGCTCTTCTCTGTTCTGGCACCAAGTTGGTGGAATGAACTCCCCCTAGATGTCCGAACAGCTGAGTCACTGGATGTCTTCAAAAGACGACTTAAAACACACCTTTTCCAGAAATACCTGAATTTTTTTAACCTAAATTCTAAATTTTTTTTTAAATGGCATATAAAATAACACAAAATAAAATTTATTTACTACTGTGATTCACCTGGCCAGCACTATGTGTATCATTCCAGAAAATTCATGAGCACTCTTCAGATTTGAGAATTTGACAGTGCCGTGGTGTAATTACTATTAATTAATGATTCTGTCAGGTATAAAATTAAACGATCTACAGAATTTGTTCATTTTCATGTCACAAAATGTTTTTTTGCATAGTTAACTATCATTACAATTTTCAAAATTAAATGTTATAGGATGATCTATAGCCATTTGTTTTCTCAAAGCATGTTTTTTTTTTTTTTTTTTTTTTGCAGAAAGCGGAATGTTTTAACTAATACTTTTTCCACATATCTTAGGCCTGTATGATCATGTACACAAATGTGATACTTCATACTGTTTTTGAAACTTAACGTGATGTAATTAAAAATTATGGTATTCTTGTGTTATAGATCCAACTGGAAGATGGGACTGTGAAAGCTGATCATATTATATCTGCACTCCCTGCTCAAGGTAAAAATGTCAAAAATGTCTGGTATCCTTTTTCTAGCATAATTCCTTAACACTTATTCTGCTGAGTAACAGTGTGAATTTCAGAAATGTAGAATGTTATGTTTGTTGCACCCTTGCTTATCAAAATGTGACAAGTTCTGTCAGGCATCAGACCTGACCTGCTGGTGGTAATTGCATCCAGTTTCGAGTTTTAATCTCCTTTTGTATGCTTGTGTGCAGCTCTTGCGCCTGTGCTGCCCCCTGCTGCTGGGTTCCTTTCACAGCTACTACTTGAGATTTCCATGGTGTCTGTTGTGGTAGTAAACCTGGAATATGAGGGCTCCATCCTGCCTCTCCTGGTGAGAAACTCCCTCCTTATGCTACATAAGATCTGGAAATTAGTAATGCAGATTCATAAGAACTCTAATTCTATAGTAGCATTTTGGTAAGACTTAAGATTTCCTACAAAGGTGTTACACCCAAACTGTTAATATATCCCATAATATCACATGTTCATTGACTGGCACTCTATCTCTCAATATTTTCCCTTGCTTAATGTTTATAGTAATAATATAATGCATGTATTTATTGCATTATGTTCACATCTTTAGTATTGCATACAGTTACATTAAAATAATGCTTTTTGACTTTCTAGGTTTTTTTTGCTAGAAAAAATAAGCTAGTAAATTAGTTCTAAAGATAGTTGCTTGGATTAAAACTATGGAACAACAATAGGGAGTTACAGGACTGCAACATATTACTTCTTGCCTTCTGTTTTAATTAAAAACAGGTAATTTAGTATATTTTTGTGTGTGATCCTTCAGGGTTTTGGCCACCTCGTGCCTTCTTCAGAAGATAGTGGCCTTCTTGGAGTGGTTTATGATTCTGTGCAGTTCCCACAACATAATCGGCCTGGAGCATCCACCACTAGACTTACCGTGAGATCCTTTGTCATCTTGTATGCAGATATTCCCAACATTAGGATTGGGAACAAAACCAAAAATTAATGTCCATGTACTTGTACACCATGAACGATGCAAGCTTTTAGCAGTCAGACCAGTCTGATGTTAATGTTCTGTGTACTGTAGGTGATGATGGGAGGGGCATGGTTCCAAGAGGAATTTGGTGCCCCTGAGGACCACACATCACAGAGACTCCTGGGCCGGGCGACCAGAGCAGTGAGCTGCCATCTGGGGGTGACAGCAGAGCCACTGTGGAGCTCGGTGGCTGTACACAAGGTGATCTGTGACCTTGTTCAGTCTTTAGCTTGCTAGTTTAAGAGAATACAGACACTGGTGCTCAGGCTAAAGGGTGTATCATGAGTAAATAATAGAATTGTGATCGAAATAGCACGTAAGCTTTGGTTTCTAGGGGTGTAACGGTTCACAAAAATCACGGTTCGGTTCGATACGACACAGTGGTGTCACGGTTCGATATGTTTTCGGTACAGCAAAAAAAAAATGCCAGATAATTTCTTTGATTTTTTTCACTTTTTTATTTATTAAAACATCAAAAAAGTATGATCTTGTTTTTTTCTTTTACTTTAAACAATGATGAAGCTATTCTTCACCCATCTTCTGAAGTTTCTTTTTAGCAGCAAATAAAACAAAACCTCCTTTATAACCAAAACCAAAAAGCTCCTGATAAAAAAAATGTAATGTAATTTTGTAGTAGTTATAAACTAATAGAAAGAAAAGAACAATTTTGTTTTCATATGGAACTCAGTTTCAATCAGTTTTTAAGTTTTTTTTCCAGAAAGATGAGTGTGTCCACATTTTATCCACCACTCTCTTGCCATCACCCTCATAACTTACAGGTAAACCAAAGTGCTCCCAAACTCCAGACCTGTTGGTTATAGGAGGATCCTCTATTTCTGGTTTCATAATTGCATTAACGTTACTAGCCATTTTGCAACGAGCTAGTGCAGCAAATACCTGACTGACTGGAGTAGTGTTTGGGGGTGGGAGGGGCAGTCAACACGTTGCTTGTGACGTCGTTTGGGCTGCCTTGTTGAGCGTAGTAGCACTGAAAACATTATATTTTACACACTTTATTCTCTTTTATTTTTTCCCAAATATAACCCTCTGGAGTCTAGGGGTAGGGAACACACTTTCACTGACTGGGGCATGATCACACATTTCATTCAATATCATAAACTTAATTCATGGCAAATAAATTATTTCTTATATATTTGTTTTGGCATTAAACTCATCTTAATCTTAGTGTACTTTGTAAATATGTCAGATTTATGTTAAGTTTGTAATTTGACATCAAAGTATAGACATTGCAAAATGCAGCTTGGAATAATTGCAGACACATAATAAAAGTACATAGTAAGCAATGCTGGCAGTTTGTTTTGATCCAAGATATCTGATCAACAAAGTCTTGGCTACATGAAGATGACTAAATGGTATAGTTGCAACATTCAGTTGGATTTATAAATAAGAAAAACTGAACTCATGTCACTATTTCTGACTCCTTTCATTGAATATGTAGCAACTTTCATGTGTATGAATGAGCCATTGTCACCTGGCCACGTCCCTCCCCCCCTTTTATGGCTGTAATGTTTCTGGATCGCGTTTCACCGTTGCGCTGTTAATAAAATTACCATGCGAATGCGATTTGTATACGCGCTAATGCGGCTATTTAGAATGTGAATAGCGATCTTCGGGTGAGAGCGGTACTATACGCTCCCGATGCAGGTAAAACAAAGTAAGATGACATGGTTTACTTTCTTGCCGATTTAGCCTAATTTTAAAAACTTTAATACTTCCGACAATGGACGTTTTGAAAAGAAGACCGATTTATGGATTTAGTCAGTGTTTTTTCATGTTTCTATAATAAGATTTCAGCGAGTTATGAACTGAAATAGACAAGAAAGATACTCGGCATCGCTGACGATGCCGTCGATTCCAGAGTGATAAAAGTATTTTTCTGAATCGTTCGGTTTGTAATGCGTACCGAACCGAAAGCCTCGTACCGAACGGTTCAATACGAATACGCGTATTGTTACACCTCTATTGGTTTCGTGTACACATTATCAGTATACTAAGTCTTTTAAAAGTCATGTATGTCCTTCATTGATTAACACAGTTCAGGGCTCTTAAGGTGGAAAGAGGTGTCATTTCAAGGTATGGTTAGGCGGGTAACATGCTGGCCTGTTGTCACACTCCTGCTATCCCCTTTTGTGGGGGTGGGAGATTTCACTTTCCCATTTAGGTGTACTTTACTTAACATGCTGCTGGTTACTGCGTTCTATACAGGGAAACACGTCTATATTCTTTGTGTGTGTGTGTGTGTGTGTGTGTGTGTTATTACATTGTCAGGACCATAAAAACTGCTATTTTGACATTGTAGGGACGATTTGTCAGGTCCCACAATGATCTGTGAATGCAACCAAAAAACTAAAAGACTTGTATTTTGTTTGGTTACTTATGGTTAAGGTTAGGGCTGGGTAGTGGTTAAAGTTGTCATGTTGGGATTAGTGTTTCCCCTATAGAAATGGAGAGTTCCCACAAAGACATAATTACAAACTTGTGTGTCTGTGTTGTCATGTATATATTAACTATAATAATTATTGCTATAAACGGCTATACTTGATTATTTTCGACTAGCTGATTTAATACAACTGAATTTGCTTATTTCTTAGATGCCTCCTTAAAATTGCAGTGGCCATCTCTGCTCTGCAAATCCTATGCTATACTACGGTGTGACTGTGACATTTTTTTGTTCTTCTCCCTTTATCTTCTCCATTGTTTAAAGTAATTTCTTGTTCCAAGAGACTTATCAGTATTGCCCCAGCACTTCCTGTAGTTTATTGCATTCTATCTGGTGTTGCATGAAATTCCAGTACTGAAAAGGTATTACTACCTCACTTTAGAAAGATGTTTGTTGTATCGTTCCCTTAGTACCAGTTCTAATTGTACTATTGCAGGGAATATAATGTTATATTCGCAAGCAAATCAAAGTGTTTAAATATAGTGCAGAATCCTGAATGGTCATGAGGGGGCAAACAGAGAGGCTACATCAAACTAGCATCTGTACCTACAGGTGGTTATGCTATGTTATGTTTGAAGCAGTTAAATGATCAAGCATAATGCTCTGTTTGAGAAGTTTCATATATGCTAATTGAGCAGATGAACAGAAGAAAGCAGAAGAAACTCCTGTAACCTTTATCTCATTAACAGCGCGATTATTACCGACAGTGAGCTGCGGGTGTTGCGTGAGCGGCGTTTTCTGTCCGTGTAACAAACACCCGCGGGGCGATAATAACTAATAATATCTAACGTCGGTATTGTTACCCAGCGCCGGAAAAGGACAGTTGCCCCTGAGCTTTGTTCGGTCGCCAGTCGGGGCCGGGAGGACATTTTCCACTTTTTCCCTGCTCTGGCAGTAGCCTCCTGGCAGGGGTTTTGTGGTTTTTCGACCTCCCAAGAGCAACTTCGATTTCGCCTTGTTTTTAGTTCATACTTGGTTCAGGCAGAAGTTCTTCTGGTAAGTAGTAGTAAGTTTATCAGGTTTAAAATTTTTAATAAAATTAATAATTAAGTTGCGTTTTAACACAAGTAATAACTTATTTTAGTGTACTCGGCACTTTACTGCATTTATTGTTACGCAAATTAATCTATATAGTTAAATATACTATATAAATTTACTGGGCTGGGAGTATGGGGTCATAGTGAGTTAGTTAATTATGGGGCCAGCTCAGTGTTGCGTTTGCAAGATGTTTGCCCTTCTGGACGTTAGTGTCCAGTCGGACTTCATCTGCAAGCTAGTGGACTCACTCATGGTCAAGGTTCGCGACCTTGAGGAGCAACTGGCTCTCATCCAATGCAACAGTGAGTTAGAGGAGCTAGTTAATACGCCGTTTAGGGAGATGGTGTGTACGCCACTAGCAGGGAGGAGGGAGAATGAAGAGCAGAGAGGTCGAGAGAGCTGGGTGAACGTAGGTCGTAGACGCATGAAAAGGCGTACACATGTCACACAGACGGCATCACCTGAGGTGTCTGTGTCTAACAGGTTTCCGGTGCTTCCAGCTTTAGAG